AGAACACGATCACGGAGTCATTCACTTCAAAGTGGCAGATGGAGTTCAAGAAGAAGTGGCTGCGGTTTGTGTACAGTCAGCGCCTGGCGTTCAACGTCTTCCGGAGCGAGCCATGGTTGGATGTCGTCCGGCACTTCAGGGACTTGCCGGGGCCAGTGAAGGTGTTGTGGCCTTCAAAGAATGAGTTGCGGACATAGAGACCATTGTCCACACGGCGGACGATGTGGGAGCTGATCTCGCGGAGGTCAGGGCTCCTTTCTATGTCACGGGGGCCACCATTATGTCAGACGGAAGGAAGTCACGAGATGCTAGACCCATCGTTAACTTCCTTGCCGGCGGGTCACATGGGGTGATGCTCGTCCGGACGATGAACAGGGAGAGTGAGCGGGATCGGGCGCCTGATGTGCTGGCGTGCTGGATCAAGGTGTTCGATGACTTCTCCCCTAAGTGGGTGAACGCCATCTGCACCGACTCCGCCTCGGCGTACGTCGCCGCGGCGAACATGCTCCAGGGGCCCCAGCAGAGGCCGGAGCATCGACGGATCACGTGGCTCCCATGCGCAGTGCATGTCTGCAACAAGATGTTGTCAGACATTGGCTGTTCGGGCCCGTGGTCCAAGGACATCATCGTGAGGGGGAGAGCGGTGGTGCGCTTCATTAAGGAGCACGGCGCCGCTCTCCATATCTTTCAGGGGGAGAGCAGTTAGATGGGCCTCATCTATCCTTGCGAGACACATTTCACATCCGTGTTCGCGATGGTGGAGCGTTTGCTGGCAGTGAGATCAGCTTTGGAGAGGACGGTGGATGGCGATACTTGGGGTATGGTCCCTTGGGACCATTCCGTTCGTCAGTTGGCTAGGTGGGTCAGACAGCAGGTGCGACATGGCAGTTGGTGGGATTCCATGGGCATCTTGTTCCATATCATGGAGCCTGTGTACGACCTTCTGCGCAGGTTGGACCGCGGAGGGCTGCACATGTCGCGGGTGGTTGAGTGGACATAGGATCTGGCCCGCCAGGTAGCAGAGGAGGTTTGTGCACTTCCGGCAGATCTTGCACACTACATTGTGTACAGGGTGCAGGCTCGATGCGCTCACATGCTGGAGCCAGCGCACGCCGCTGCTCACCTTCTTTCTCCCAGCCGGCGGGACTTGCGGTACTTCGAGGGCGTGGTCAGCGACTACGATGCGAGCTTGGTGAGGGAGGCGGAGACTTACATCTTGTCGCAGACAGGGTTCAGTGTGGCGAGCCGCGACTACGAGACCGCATGTGCACAGTTGCACGACTTCCACACACRGAGGGGGACGATTGCTTGGGGGGGGAGAGATGGAGATAGAGATGCACAGAGGTGCAGGGGCGATGCGGAGACGTACGAGTCCGGGTGTTGGTGGTCGAGGTACGGGCAGTGCGCCCCGCAGTTGCAGGTTATCGCTCTTCGTGTGATGTACATGTGGACGTGGTCCTCTCCTGTGGAGAGGAATTGGGCCGTCYACGAGGGTGTACAGACGAAGAASCGTAACCGGCTTGAGTTCGAGAAGGTCACGAAGTTGGTTGAGATCTCAGCCAACGTCCGCCTTCTCTCTCATCAGCGGGCAGGCCGCGGGTTCGCGCTACCGTGGACTCTAGATAAGTCGTTGTTGGACGTGGAGGGAGGTATCGGGATTCGCCCCTCGTGGAAGGCGACGGACGAGAGCAGGACGCGGGACGAGGTCGAGGATCAGAGACGTTCATGGCAGCGAGACCCATGTGGGTCCAGAGCTCCTCCGTGTGATGTGGGCGATGTTTTTGGGACTCGAGCCGCCACATTGCACCCGTACCCTCGAGACGACAGTGATTCCGAGGGTCACGAGGACGAGGACGAGCCGGCGGGCCCCGCTAGCGCCACTCCTGCGGCGGATGAGCGTGATGAGTGGAGCGACCCAGAGGACGTCCGTACACGGAGTGGCGGAGATGACCTTTTCATTCGAGTTGATTTGGAGGAGGAGTCTAGGGGTCGTCATGGGAGCCCTTTGGAGCGTCCGAGGCCTACGTCCAGTGCCCCACTTCCCGCTGAGCGGGAAACAAATCCTGGGTCTGCACCTTCGAGGGGGGCAGGGTCGGGGATTGGCCATCATCCTCTGGGTCGCTCTGGCACGGCTTCATCCTCCGCTCTTCCCACTTCGACGGAGCAGCTTCATGGACAGTCAGTCGGTGCAGATCGATTGCAGAGATTGGTGAGGGGCCCGAGACAGCGATTGGAGGACAGATTGGAGGGCGGTCCTATACCGGTGCAGGGTGACGACGAAGATAGACAGGGGTTGGTTGGTGGAGATGGTGGTGCGCTGGCCGGAGGTGGAGGCGGTGCCGAGCTTGATGCGGCGGTTAAGGGGATACCGATGGGCGGCAGTGGCGGTTTCAGTGAGTTTGGCGATATGGGTATGCCCCCGGGAGAGAGCGTGGGTCTGGCCCGAGGAGAGAGCGAGTCCCGTGGGGACATCAGTGTGGGTATGCAGGACTTACTGGGACAGATCGGCTTTGCGGACCCGAGTAGTTTCTCCCCTGCCATGCGCGCAGAGGTGATGATGGGGACAGAGGGGGATGAGGACCGGACACCCCCGGGAGAGACATCTGCAGAGAGGCTGGATAGGCTTGATAGTCGTCGAGCGTGCCTCATGGCACAGAGG